TCACGAGGCAGAGAGTTGGGTGAAGATGGCAACGGCGGCGCGGTCCCAACCACGCACTCCACCTAGCGTCCCCCGCTCCGCCGGAGCCCGCTGCCCACCGGCCCTCCGGCAGCTCATTCATTTCATTTTGCAGCAGCAAACAGACCTCTCCAAGATGTACAAACGCAAGAAATTCCTGATGAGTTACCCTCAGTCATCTTCTTTTTGTAATTAGGTGATTCATGCCATTTGTATTTTAATATACCACCAATAGAAGAGAAAACATCTCAGGACTAAGAAGAAAAATTGCATGCTGCTAAAAACAGTATTTAGAGTCGTTATTCATAATAGTTTTATTTCCTACAGAACCACATCACGATTACTATTTTTAAAGCGTTGTTTTTAAAGAATTGTGAAAAAACCTTTAATGGACTTTGGGAAAATAAGCCAGCAGACTTGTTTTGAAAGTGTCAGAATAAAAAGGACTCTTGGAAGAGTGGCCTGCTTCCCTATTTCTTTGTTGAAGATCTGTTCTGTGCCAGCCCTTATCTCAGTGCCAATCTGCAGCACGAGAATTGTTTCCCGAAAAGCCATGTCAAATTTTACATTTAGTGCCAGCTACAACTAAGGAAGCAGCATTAAACTAGGAGCTAACACAGCAGATGTACAGACCCTTTATAACATATAGAAAGTTCTTGAATCACAGAAGTAACAATAAAAAGCCTATTATCAAACTAACAAAATTGACCTCTCCCTCCTACACCAAGACGTATGCAGCAAGAATATTCTAGTGACCAACAAAATCCAAATCAGATGTGAACCAGGGGCAGTAACATCCCCCCACACACACACACTGAAACTGCTTTAGACTGTAAAATCTACCTTAAGCAAACTGTTTCCAAGTAATCTCTTCTCAGCTAACCCCAGGATCTCTCCTGGCACTTGAATTCATGCCGCTGCAAAAAGCAGCTGGGGAGAGCTGCTCTGAAGAATCCAGACAAATGACAGTTTTCAACACTGGAAAAACAGCTAACCAGGCCAGGGAAAGCAAACATCCAGAGTCATTCATATACTGCATCTATTGCATAACTACTTCTATGATTTGCCCAGCTAACAGGCTGTGCTTATGAACGGTTTGATATGAAAATAGTTGTATGCAGTAAATGGAAGGCTATATTTAAAAAAGATGCACCTGTGTCACAGCTGAAGAAATTCAGGCACACTGTCTGAACAGGTGCCTACATGCCATCAATTCCTACCCATTGGCCCTTAATGGCAGAGATAATACTGCAAGCATCAACAAGAGCTCAGCAGCACATGGGTGGGCCCAAGAGCATTGTTCTCTAAGCATGTAATTGCATTCCCAACAATCTCACTGTACACACAGGTTTAGAATGAGCAATTAATTATAAGCAATTTTAAAACACTTACTGAGTCTATTCTCTATTGCCAGCAAACCCAGGCACTAAAGCAGAAGAGGATTTGCTGCTTTATAACTTTCATTTCTTTGAATCAATAGAAGAGTAAGTTTTGGCATAATGAAGAAATTTAATTAAAGTATAGGGAACATCAAAACTAGATATACAGTAATGTAGAAGTTAATATAGCGAGTTCCCCACTTAACCTATCGTATTTCTACTTTGAGAGGCAACTACTGCACAACTAACAAAGCAAATTAGTTTAAAACTCCTCCTTTTGAAAGCTGGAGCTCCTAATTGCATTGTTTCCAGATGGGTTAAATCCAGAACAGTATTCTGAAACAATTTACCCTTAAAAGTTGTACCAACAGCCTTAAGTTAGTACTCCGTGTTCCCTTTCACACAAGGTGTAGAATCAAACTGAGGAGATATTAAGGAGTGTATTACTACATTGATAGCATGTTATGTACAGATATTGCTGATATAGCTGTACTGACAAGAATATTAACAGTTCAGGTACTTAAGATGGCAACACACTGTTAGGGCAATAAACTTCCGTTTTTACACTCCCAGTGCCATCTAGTGGCTACAGAGCCACACATATTCCACCAAATTAGGAACCATTCAGTGTTCAGACAAGCCTTCAGTGCCCAGAAAACGCAATTGTCCTAAATTTACAGTCCATGCTAACCACTAAAGCTTGCACAGGAGAAAAGAGAAAAATTAATACTTGCTCCTCCTTCTTCCTACACTCATTGCCTTTATGGAATTCCCTCAATGTAATAGAAAAATGCTTATCTGCCTTACATATTTAAAGCAAACAAGTATTTCTCCTGTATTGTTACACATTAGATGTTGCTGGTATAGTTTTATTACATTTTATTCTATAACCACCTTCTAATTATTCAGTGAAATCTATTTTGTCTGTTTTTTTCCCCTAACAAAGTTACGTGAAACCTTGCCTCTTACATTCCAAATAAATATCTTCGCTAACAATATTAAACTAAATTTCTTTTCCTAGGTGGTGCACCTCACTATAATCTTTGCAAAGCTGTTCACCTCCTATACATCCACCATAAATTATATTAATAAGCCAACAGAGAAGTTATATTTTGTATATATGGTTCTTTAAAGTCAGCTCAGGTCATGGCCTTAATACATCCACTAGGTGCACATATCCCACAGGAAAACCTAAGTCATATGTTATGAAATTTAATTTGTGTTCTATTAAAAGTAATTTAGAACTATTTAAACATCTGGATTTTTAAATACAGAGTAAAAGAAAGGTCAATTCATTACACCTTCTTAGAGGAAAAAAGAAGTGGTGCTGTCTTATGAATACTTCTTTATGTGACAAAATCATCTTGGAGTGGCCTAGGGTATAAAATGACAGCACTCTTGCTGCCCTGTGTCAGATCAATGTACAGTAAAGAAACATGACCCACTTTCAAATACAGTTTAGAAGTGGTGGATAATGTTTCTTATTTACTGGATTTGACAGGTGTAAAAATTAAGAATAGGAACTGCATGATAAGCTCTCCAAAGTGCTTCAAAGAGGATGTCTAAATACATGAAATCTTTGGTCAGAAGGAATCTTAAGTTGACTCTCACTGGTTGATAGCCTAATAAAATATTGAAAAAGCACAACAAGATTAAAATCTATCATTTAAACTGTTTCCTGCTTGCTGATTTAAATCATGACCAATGATTTCTGCAGCAAACTTGGAATTGCTATACTTTCCCTTCCTCTCTCTGTCCTGCTGAATAGCTGGTGATCCCATCCTGCTGCTTTTTTACTCCCACCGTAGGTTGGCAGAGAACCCAAAGTGAGCTGAGTGTCCTGGTTTCAGCTGGGATGTAGTTAACTGTCTTCCTAGTAGCTGGTACAGTGCTATGTTTTGAGTTCAGTATGTGAACAATGTTGATAACACTGATGTTTTCAGTTGTTGCTCAGTAGTGTTTAGACTACAGTCAAGGATTTTTCAGCTTCTCATGCCCAGCCAGGGCACCTGACCCAAACTGGCCAACAGTGTATTCCATACCATGGGACGTCCCATCTAGTTTAGGAACTGGGAAGGGGGGGGCAGGGAATCGCTGCTCGGGGACTAACTGGGTGTCGGTCGGCGGGTGGTGAGCAATTGCCCTGCGCATCATTTGTATATTTCAATCCTTTTATTACTACTGTTGTCATTTTATTAGTGTTATCATTATCATTATTAGTCTCTTCTTTTCTGTTCTATTAAATCGTTCTTATCTCAACCCAGGAGTTTTACTTCTTTTCCTGATTTTCTCCCCCATCCCACTGGATGGGGGGGAGTGAGTGAGCGGCTGCGTGGTGCTTAGTTGCTGGCTGGGGTTAAACCACGACACTGAGTTCGTGAGCCTGACTCCATCTCATGCATCACTCGATGCTGGTTTGCCTCTCCAGCGAGACAAGAGCACCTCAGTTCAGGACTGATGATTTTGATCGATTCTGCCTCTGTCCAGCCCGTGTGTCTTACCGTCCCTAACCTATTAACAGCATCGTCTCTGCAAGACCTGTACATTGTCAATTCACTGCTAAGCGCTATCCAGTGTTACATAAAAATGTTTAGACACTGTGTTCATTGGCTTTACTGCATTTCCATTTCCAATCATTTAGACTGACAGTAATATTTTTGTCTAGAAGGCCGTGCATGCATAAGCTTGTTTCTGTTTAGCAATAGTTTCCTTTCTCTGCACTTTCTGAGAAGCTACACTAAGAGTAAGTCTAAGACTACTGCAAATGCAGCCCATACAGGTGCTGTTCGATCTAACAGGCATTGCCCTGCTGTGTGGAAAAGCACGAGTTTCTTGTTTCTTGTAGTGTTTTCTGTGTTATTGTTAATGATTAAAGCAGTTCTGAAAGTAAACATCTGTAATTGTTCCAAATACAAGATGACATTTGTTGCATAAACTGGTTTTAATTATTTTGTGGCCACGAATCCTTTTCTTAAATACAGGACAGTGGTTTCATAAACAAGGAACTAATCCAATGGCCAAAAGCAAAACACACCCAGACGTTTCCCTAACTTTCCTAGCTAAGCTGAGATAAACAACATCATACAAATTTTCAGAACAGACATTATTTTATCTTTGTAGACAAACATTTTTCTTGCTATTATTTTCAAAGCAAAATTAATACAGACTGAACTTTAAAATAGCTGCCTATTTCAGTGGTTTCAGCTAGAAGAACGATCGTTTTAAGCTACCAAAAAATAAGAGTATGCTGAAAAATTTTAAAAGGGAACATTTGAGCTGCACACACTAGAAAATGTTTCATTTGAATTAGGAAATTAGAGGATAGACCTTGCAGATGTTGATTCATTGTTTCAAAGTGAGGATTAACAGCAGGCTAATATCTACAGTTCAACAAACATAGCATACAAACTACAAAACAAGGTTATACAGTATAAAACATGAATAGCATTCACTAGTGCCCAGAAGCATTACACTAAGCATTTCTTTTCCTTCAGAAGTACTTAACATTTAGGACTTACAGAATATTCTTTATTCACATATTTTAAAATGTGCAACAATTAAAATACTCGATTCAGAAAGAACATGGTATGGAAATGTCCTTACCAAATAGAGCAGAAAGGTGTGGAGACCTGTTCCTAGTCCAACAGAGGACAGAATGCCTAATCCTACCCAGTAGGCACACCAGAAGAACTTTTTCTCCATATACCGCACATACTGAAAAAGAAAAGTCACAAAAGAGAAAAAAAACAACAATGGTGATATCTCCTAGGGGAGAAAGTTAAAGCTACAGACTACCACAGATAGTTATCTGGATTACAACAACTGAAATAGAATCCTAGATACTTCTATTTGCAATTTATTACAATTACAGCACAAACATGTACAGAAAATAGCGCACTTTCAAAAGAAAAGCCCACGCGCCTTAGAATCAGCAAGTTTCCAAGGAGATAGATGAAAAATTCAGGTTCAGTAGTAGGGAGTTGAAATCCAGAACAGGCATACTAGGTGTGAGCAGTGAGCAGCAAGCCCCAGACAGTGTCTACTGGAGCCCAAGCAGTGAGCAGACAGCTCAGGGAATTGCCTGAACAGATTAAATAAAGGAGTAGAATTAGCTGCACTCTCCGTTAGTCTGTTGAATGTTTTATCTCGGACCAGTGAGTAACCAGGTTTGTTACTTTTAAGAAAAGACTAAAATGTTGGTTGTGTGTTACATGTGTAAATGAGGGGATATGGGAAAGTCTGGACATAAGTAGTCCAGTTGGGTACACTGGAGAAACAGGAAGCAATATCTCCCTCTCACTGCCATGAAAGCAATACTAAGAGGATGAGCCAGGCCATCAACTTGTCTGTACCACAGCCCCAAGAAGAGGTGCCATTTTTTACCACCCATGGAGCAACAGCACCAAGATGTTTACCAGGCTTCACTCTGCCAGGGTGCAAAAAGGTCCTGAAAATGCCAAGTGAAAACCACAAGTATGCTTTGCTATTTTGAGTATGCTTTTGAAAAAAAGTGGCTCATATTCACGTATATGTAGATGGTACGCAGAGATAGGTAGAGGCACTACCAGGACATTGACTTTAGGGAAGGAGCTCTGGAGGAAGAGGGATGGATACCTGCTGGCTCACACAACTGAGACCACCTGTAACAGGAGCTCCAAGCACTGGCTGACCACTGCAGGTCACACTCGCCTCGCCAGTCCCAGAGGCACAGGTTTGTTCCCAGCAGGCTCAAGGAAACCTTGAGCAGGATCACTCTGCTAAGCCTTGGCACAGCGGAGGCACAGCAGCCCGCTCAGAGGGGCCATGCGCCTCGACACCAGTTTGCAAGAGCCATCTAGTAGCAAATGTTGAGTGCATCAAGCTCTGGCCTTCACGCTGACAAGGCCACCAACCAGGGCAGTTTTTAACGAAGCAGGTATTTGTCCATCAGGAACGGGCCACCAATTTACCATCTACCAACTTGGTCTGCGTGTAAGTGCTTAGGTCTCAGCCATGGGATTGAGCGAGCAAGAATGCAATGAGCTGAAGCAACTGATTTCAGTGCATTTCAAGACCCGTCCTAGGAAGCCAGGACTCCTTTTCCAGATCTGCATGTCCCTCAGGCAGCCAGTGACACAGCATAGCAGTATGGGTGTAAGCAAGTTCTCTGAAACTGGGAACCTGCTGATTTCAGAGTCAGAGAGCTAAGATGATTCAGTTGCACAAGGAAATGCTCTGCAGGCTTTAAAAGGGCTGTCGGCCCTTAGGGAAAATCTGAATCTCAAAGAGAAATGGGGAGGGGAAAGGTGTAGACAACACCATCACCTTATGCTTAAGCAATGGCTTACACTTCAAGTGATGCAAAAGCATAAGTCTTCACATACCCAAAGCACAAAAAAGTTTTTAAACAACCATTTGAAAACAATTGGGGTATGAGAAGCATTGCAGAAACAGATTCGAGCACAAAACCATTTTATGGCTAGATACATGCTATCCTAGCTGTTCAGGAGACCCTTCCATAGAAAAAGAAGAAACATTCCTTGGAAACCACAAAGTTCTATCGTGACTCAGTTTAACATTATATCTCAAGAGCTCACAGCACTCTTGAAAGCTTGTTAACAGCAGATGTGAAGGAGTGCTGCAGCGTTGGAGGTATGCTTATTCAGGAACAGATGGGAAGTGGAACACCTACAGATACAACAGAATAGATCAAATGATACAGCTGATCATTCCCCATCTCTAAAACGTAACTCATCCACACACAGAGAGCAGTCATGACATGAATGAGCAAATATCCTTAGCGAGTAGGAGTTCAAAAGACACATTACAATTTCATGAAGACCCCATTCAATCCCAGTACGTCTACTTTAGCACAGGGAAAGGAAGTATTAGTCACTAAAGAAAGTAACTTGAAAACCTCGTACCTGTTGATGTGTTCCTTCAATGTAATACATAGCTGTAAGCACTGCAAGCATCAGTAAAACAGACACCAAGATACTTCGCCGATGCCACAATCTTAAAAGACAAATGGCAATTAGGGTTTTTCATAATTTAGCATGCATTTCAAAGTAACTTAGTTATTCCTGTAGACTCAGTCTGCATGGATGTAGTCAGCAAGGACAACGGCAGCTGAAAAGTTTGCTATTATAAAAGCATAAACCTCCCAATAAAATATCTGGGAAGCCTTCATTCTTTATGAAAAAAAATCTCTACTTCACTGTCAAGTGAGATCAAAGTTCAGCCATGCATTTTTTTTTTTAAATAAAGAAAAACAAAGTGACCATCTGAAAACAAACAATCTGAAAACAAATATTCAGCTTCTGCAGCCAAGACAGTCTCAAACACAGGACCATTAACAACATCCATGGTTAAGGAAAGTGCAAAGCGGGCACTGCGCTGGCCCTGGGCAAGGGACAAGCTGTGGGTGGAATACAGAAGGGCTAATTTCAAACTGTGTGCTGGTGGGTAGAACCACAGTGACAGTAAGAGGAACAAATCTTTACACTATTTTGGTTCCCCTGATCTATTGAAATTAGTATCTCTCGTAACAGCTCAAAGTTTAATAAAGACATTTTAGCTAATTATAAAGCGTTAGGAAGCTACTACAGTAAGGGGAAAAAAGTGTTTTTCTGTGTAACCCGATACCAAATTACTTCTGGGCCTGTTTAGTTTTACATACACACTCTGCTTGATGTGTATGTGGCCACAAACAGTGGATGAGCAAATACATTTATTATTTTCTGGGAAACACTATTATACTGTCACCTAATGCTATAAAAAAGCAAGTGCTAGCATCACTTAAAAATCTCAGACATGAAATAGCAAACTATGAACGTAACTTATCTATTTAGACAGACAGACAAAGAAATGAGACGTGTAATACACAAATATTTCATATTAAACAAGCTGAAAAAATTCAGTCTAACTTCTCTTTAATTTTAAAATAATTTGTGCTGCTTATGTTAGTATGACAATTGCATTTTCAAGTGACTGTCATCATTTAAATCACAATTTACTCAAGTGGAACACAGGAGATCATTAAGAGTCAATCTGAGGTCTCAGGTTAATAGCTTATAATAGTCAGTGTTATTTTCTGTAAAGATATTGTCATGCTAGTGTTAGACAACATAAACGTGCTGCACGACAGAAGACGCGAGTGCTATCTGTAACAGAATTTCATGTCTGGGAAGCCAGGTAATAGCTTAAAATAAGACCTCAAATATTATTTCTGCTGGTTTTAAATGCTTGGAGGTTGTCAGAAATGGCTAATGTAAGACCCGATAAAACAGTTCTCAAAGAAACAACTCCTAATGATAGCTAAAAGAATGCACACAGTAAAATAAGTAGGTTTGGGGGTTAGATTGGGGGGGGCAGGGTGTAAAAGGGGATTAAGACTACACTACATAAACCTGATATTCTTCATACAAATCATTTCAGAAGATCAAAACAGAAAACAGAAGTTACTCTCAGTGGATCTTTTGTGTCAGCACCTCGAACCTAGCCCAGAAGGGTCAATCGACACAGCCCATTATCACCAATCTCGGCTCACTCTGCAAAGGAGCAGTAAAACAATCAGAATCACCCAAGGTGATATTAGATCCTGTCTTCTGACTGGGAAAATGATTATAAACTTGATCCCAAACACAAGAGATTCCAGTTACCAACACAAGCACTAGCATGGCTGCTACTCTTGGCTTTTTCCGTTGCCAATTTTACTCATTTGCCTTTTAGCACTCTTAAACCCTCTCAAGCCTAGTGCATTAAGAAATAGCTATGCATTTCAGCATTAGTAGGGGATGTTAGGACTGCTACTCGCAAATTTTCTAATCGGAATAAAAGTCCATTTTATCCAGTGTGTAAATAATGCTTAGGGAAAGTACTTTAATAAATCCTTTCCTGCTGTGAAAGGGACCACATAGCTTAGAAGCAAAGTCCTCTTTGCAGCATCATAAACATCACTGCAAGTTCCACATAATCCTGAACCTTGCCCTAGCTGAGCTATTTGAAGATCATTCAGCGATACTAACACATACATTAATAGATCAGTACTTAACACTGCAGTCATAAGTACAGTATCTCTTGCCTTAAGGATCCCTAAACACTGTCCCACTCCTTCAAATTGGAATATTCAACTCTTCAGAAAGGAAGTGTGCAATTTTCTTCCACTGACAAAATATAAAAAAAAATATAAAAAAATAAATATGTTTTCTGGAAGAAGAATTTTAAAGTTGTGAATCATCAGGGAAAGCGAGATGTCAGAATGACCTACTGAATCAGAGCATGGGTTTCCCCAGAACGCTTAGTAGAAGTTAAAGAAATGATCTTTACTTTATGGTCCATTCCTTCAAGTTTATTAGAGTTTCCAGGAAAAAATACTGCAAGGTAACAAGCGGTTGTCTCCACAGTAAAATATTCAACCTCTCTTCTCGGTCCCTTCGCTTCCGTTCACTCAACAAAGAGGAATCTGCAAATGAAAAGCAACAGAAATATAAAAGTACGGGGTGACAGTTCAGATTCTATCCTACCCAAAAAGACACCGACTTTTTTTTTTTTTTTTTTTTTTTTTTTTTTAGGAAGTTAATGTGAGCTCCCAGTCATCTTTTCTACTCATCACATCAGAAATCAGGTGACCTCCAGCCAAGGAAATAAGGTGGCTTTTTTCCTCCATGTAGCTGGCAACCATTCAAGAATCTAATTGGCCCAGGGTGCAAAAAAGTCTGGCATATCTATTAGCTTTTATGCAAGGTACTGCCCTACTGGTTACAAATCAGCTATTACATTAGGTCAAACGCGACTCTATCACCCACTACAGAGACCACGTTTCACTTTGAACTTCTGAATTTGGTTCTCTTCCAAAGCTATTCTCAGACTTCTCCAATTGAACTAGATTGAATTACATGTGCTCTTTATACACTTCAGTCACCGTGTAACTGGATAATAGCATCTATCCGCCCAGTCGGGATCCTCAGGCTATGGCAAGCCTTGCCACGCTGTTCAGCTTCTCCAAAATGAGCCCAGCAGACAGGAAGTGCTCCCATGAAAAGGACCTGCTTTTATACCACAGTCCTTTGCTGGACTGACACTATACATTTGGTTGCTTTTAATTGCAGTGATTTGGTTATAATGCAGTGCTCAACACTCCTGTAAGAGCAGTCACTGTACACTACCATACAAGTATAGAAGAAAGGGTCTTCTAATAAATGTGTTATTTTGTGCTTATAGTACACTCAAGATTAATAAAAATCCTAGCTATTTTTTGGATGAGTATGGCTTGTTCAAAGGTCATCAAGCTAATGAGCAGTAATAATTTTTAAACTTTTAAAGAAAATGAATTCTGAAATAAGAGAAAAAACCCCCATAAAACAATGGAAAAATACACAAAAATAGTTCTTGTATCCAAACAGACACCAAACTTGTTTAAACATCACTTACTATACAAAGTCAAAATGTATGTATTCTGATTTGCATACATTTAAAGCATTGCGATATTCATAAATTTTAAATTTGTAAAAAGCTGTTGCATTTAAAATACTAATCTAATCTGAGTCCCCAGCATACTGTGACTGAAGATATATTATTTTGGTCTTATTCCAGCAATTGAAACATGTTGCCTTATCAGATGCTAATATTTACATAGAAATTGCATACCTCATTAGCCACATAGCCCATTTAATTTTGTATTCTTTAGCTAAAAGAATCTTAGCTTTAGCTAAAGCATCAGTTGCTTTAGATGAACTAAGAAAAATCCTACAATGGCAAATACTGGATAACATCCGCATTGCCTTAAGAGTTACAGAATGATTTAAGCCTTTAAGTAAAAGGCTTTGATTTGTTCCATACATACACATATACCAGTTCCTCTTTAAATTTTGCCACATTCATTGCTTCATGAATTTCTATTCCCTAAATGCTTCAACCTTGTTTTTTATGACCTTGTTTTTAGTAAAGGTCATAAAAGACACTGGTGTAAAGCTGCATACAACTTGAGAAATCACTTGGTTACAAAACTTAATTAAATATGTAACTGGCACATTCAAGGCTGACAGGAAGCAAACTAAGATGATTATCATTTCTATGCTATATTACACAGCACAGATAATTCAGTGACACAAAGCTCTTCATGAAATGTTTTCAGGTTATTTTTCATGAGTCCTAAACATTAACCCAAGCCCACTTCAGATATACTAGTAGGAAAAACAGAGGCAAGGCAGGAGATGAAGCAGTTAATGGTTTTGTTAGTAATTTGTCATTGAAACAGATAAATTGTTGGAGCAAGTCCAGAGGAGGGCCATGAAGATGATCAGGGGGCTGGAGTACCTGTCCTGTGAAGACAAGCTGAGAGAGTTGGGGTTGTTCAGCCTGGAGAAGGCTCTGGGGAGACCTTATAGGAGCCTTCTAGTACCTAAAGGGGACCTACAAGAAAGCTGGAGAGGGACTTTTTACAGGGACACGCAGCGATAGGACAAGGGGTAATGGCTTTAAACTGACAGAAGGTAGATTTAGATTAGATGTGAGGAAGAACTTCGCTGTGAGGGTGGTGAGGCACTGGAACAGGTTGCCCAGAGACATTGTGGATGCCCCATCCCTGGAAGTGTTCAAGGTCAGGGTGGATGGGGCTTTGAGCAACCTGCTCTAGGGGAAGGTGTCCCTGCCCATGGCAGGGGGGGGGAACAAGGTGATCTTTAAGGTGCCTTCCAACCCAAACCATTCTATGATGCTAAATTATAGTGAAGCTAAATGTCAACAGAAAAGCTAGAAACCGGGAGACTAGTAACTGGATTTCTCCCCGTGTAAAACAGATTTTTATTACCAAGTACTAACTTTTCAGTGCCAAAGGGTGGGGCTGTATAGCCTGACTTCTACAGCCACATATTTGCCAACATAGTTTAGTTTTTTAGCTCAGCCCTGTTGCAGTCCCTGTTGGTACCCAAGTCAGATTTACAGGGCTCACATACATATGAACTACAGAGTAAGAACTCTGGAAGGAGAAAAGAGTATAAGAGAAAACTGAATGGAAATACAGGACATAAAACTATTCTGTGGCTTTACAATACATAAATCCTCTAGACTTCTGATTTAGAAATGACTGAAGTTTCCAAGATGGATTCATGCATTGAGGCTTTTTGCATTATCCAAGCATAAAGTGCAGCAACATAAATACCTTTTGATTATTGTGCTGGCCATTTTACACACCAAGCTGACCAGCTGAGAACATTAAGTCATTTTCCACCTACCTGTAAAGTTTCCATTGTGCTGTTCTTTGATCATTCCTATGCGTCTCTGATCACAATCTGTTCCATTCTCTGCCATTTCATAGATCAATCACGTATGGGGATCTAATAGCAGAACAAAACCAAAAAGCATAATTTCTCCATTTCTGGTTATGAAGACCCCATTTCCTCCATAGTCAAAGGATACAAGCAAATATCCAGCAGTTCTCCAAATCCAAATCACAGTTATCCTGCATTACACTATGAAAAAGGAGAGAGTGATTCAATTCCCACAACGACAAAGATTAAAACATTTCCACCTACATAAATCTAAATTTTTCACTTAAATGACAAAACTCCCTCACTTCTAACAATGAACAAAAGCTTGTTAACCAATCCCTTCTACTAATCAGCCCACTGTTTGGGCTCCAGAAGCAGCAGAGCTTCATACAAACCTCAGTTCAATCCTGAGAGAGACATGCTTAAGATTTGATTCTCATATTAGAAAGCATCTATTCTGACACTAAGCTTCCAGGTAGTTAGTGTGCCAAGTAGACCTCAAAAACGTCATGGCCTGAAAAAATAGCCCTCAATATGGTAACGAAGATACAGAACTGCATCTCACGTTCTGCACGGTCTAATATCTCTAAACCAGAAAAGATAAACTCTTCAATGGACAAGAGCTCTCTGATGGAAAGCTTTTTTGAAAAGCGTACATTCTGTCTGCTAGTTTAGCCTCTCTCTAGTGAGATCAGCCTTAAAAAGCCCAAAAGAACAGCTATGGTTTTCCTTATCCAGGAGAGTAAATAGTGCAATAATTGGAAGCCAGCGTAAACCAGAATGTTGCAAGAGCTGCTTTTTTTTTTTCCCCTTAAAAAAAAAAAACACCACCAAACCTGAACAGCTGACAATTCTTATGCAATCAAACACAAAGAAAGTAGCCAGACTCCTTGCTTTAAAAATCCTCTCTTGAATCTTAAAACAGTTTCTGGAATTTTATTTTGGCAAAGAGAGTCCCACAAAGCTAAAGCATCTTATTTGCATTGCATTTCTCCCTGTAAGCAAACATGATTTACAGTTTTTGATACACTGCTTTTGTTGGAAAGAAAAGTAGTGCAATATTAAAATGACAGGTTATATAAAACTGTCTAGTGGAGGAAATTAAAGTTTTACAGAAAAAAAACCTTCCCCTTAGATTTATGTTAGGCTTAAGAGCCAAGCAGCAACTCAGATTTGGTAAACAGGAGTGAGATTGCTCCTTTGATTCAGACTGCAATAATTTTGTCAATTTTTAAAATAAAATGTTAAGAGATTTCAGATACTGCATTTGTTTAATATTTCCAGGGTTTCACAAGTCAGTTTTAGACAGGTGGTCTTCCAAACAGGTACAAGCCCCGTGCATTACTTGTAATAGAGATAAAATCGCTAGCTAGAATGTGATTATTAAAAGTGTTTTACTTAAAGCCCAATAGTCAAAAGCATCAAGGTCTCTGGAAGGAGTCTTTCCTCCAACACCTCCTTCCTGAAATGAAAGGCACAGAAATAGAAATCTGTCTAGTTAAACAAGCTAGCAGAAACTAATCTCTTGCATGTTACAGTTTTTATTCCTTAAAATTTGGGCCCCAGAACACCCAAACCACCAAGAAAATTAATAAAACAGCTTTGCAAAAGCTTGCTTCTGAAAAATGCTGAACGGCTTCATAGTCAGCCAAGGGCAGAGGACTGACCTGCTGCAGTAAGAACTCTACAGCATCATTCTGCAGTCACTTGCAGTCGAAGGTTTGCTCTGAACTGTTGGTCAACCACCAGAGAAATGTGAACCTCTTTCTCTCCTCAGATCAGTTTTATGGCAGCCTGACACTCTGGAAGTCAGTGGCGTTACACCAGGACTTAGTTGAGGGTAACCGGCCAGTTGCTACGGTAATACAAGGATCAAATGTTCAGCATCTCCTAATTTCATTAGAACAGTAAGTCCCTGTAGATGGTAGAGTGTTTTGTTTCTACTCACTGCACTTACATGCACTTATGTTTTATACATATAAATATGTATTTATACCCATACACAATATAAGCTTATATACACACATACCTATGTACATCACTTACACACGTTACACACACACTTACACACACAAAGCTCAAATTGCAGACGGGAATATTGAAATTGGGTAGTTAGAAAGCCTGATGTTCACAGAAAGTGCTTAGGAGGCAAAAGCTATCAGAGCTGTTCTGTACACAGCCACGCTAAAAACAACATTCTGGTTTAGGGAACTTCAGTCACATTTTGTTGGCTTAAATATAACAAACATTTAAAAAAAAAACCAACAAAAAAAACTTCAGCCACATGTTCCTCATTTTGAAATTCATCTTTTTTCCTTGTGCAAATCTAGCCTTCAAAATTGAAGTCTCAATTGGTTTGGACTCTGCTCTCAGCTTAATTACATTTCGAGAAAGTTAATTTACTGTAATACAAACTGCTCTGCATGTTTGATGCTAAAATCTAGGCTGTGCACAACACTCCCTCATCATGAACTGAATTCCACTGCAATCCATAAAACACCTTACTGGCACATAAAAATCACCAGTCTCTAGGGATCTCAGGTGCATTGTTACATACATATTACAGCTTTCATAAGCTCAACTAACAGAGCCAGTTTTACCCTGCCTGCTTGGAAAGGCACTAATCTGGGATTAGCTTTGCATAACGCTACCTCAAGCACACAAGTCAACGTTTACAGCAAAGCACATAAATAATCCCCTTGCACACTTCAGTAGGGCAAATACTTGTTAAGAAGGTCTTAAAGTTCAACAATTCTGCAGAAAAGCTCTAAAAACTTGTATTTAAGAATACAGTTGACTAGGAGACTTAATACCTGTTATATGGCAAGTCCGAAGGGGATGCAATTCAGAAACCCAAACCTTACTGGTTTCAGAAAAAACTTCTTGGTTTACCAAAGTCTAATTATACTTAAAGCATCTTAGCATAAGGAACTGGAGGATGTGCATCCAGAATGCTCAGCTCCCTGATCGGTTGCTCTGTTTGATGCCTACTAGAATCAGTAGTCCTGCACTAATGTCTCCCCATGGAGATTAATTGGAGTGGGAGTCTGACCCAAAATGGAGTTATCCTTCATTAAGTGAGTCCACATCCTCAAGTCTACACCAAATCCATGAGAGCTCACCACAGGAAATTAAATTCCATCTGCTAAACAGAACTTCACTTCTTATGAATGCTGAGAGTCCATATCTAAAAATAAATTTGCCTAATACATTGAGTAGTTACCAGAAAACATAAAAATAAACTATTTAAAAGAGTGAGAAAAACAACTTTGAACAGTTTTTGTATCAGAGTCGCTTAGATCATTTGTCAGAGCTGTGCTCACACAAGAACTTCTTTGTAGGGCTGAACAAATAGCCCACAATACACTATTCAGCTTTAGTGCAATCCATAACATTAAGTATAAAAAGACAATTATCGCTAGTCAAAAACGTAAATTGGTCAACAAAAAGGGCTTATGGTAACTGTGACTGGCACTTCACAGCATAAGTGAGACAAAGCAAAACAAGCTATTAGAGCATGAGAACATAACAAAATTAGGCTCTGCAATCTCTGCACTCCGTAATTGGAGAAAAGGACCAAAGTCTCTTCTTTCTGAAGCTCTGGGGAGGCTGCTGAAGCACCCAAGTGTTGGGAGCACTTACGTAAAAGGAAACAGTTTAAGACAAGGCAGTTGGATGCTTGCACTCTCACTTGGAGGAGCAGAATGTGGACTCATGTTCTGTACTAAGGATTTTTTGAGGACTCCTTTCCGATGTGCTGGAACAACACATCTTTAATGATCTCACTGCTTTCCCAGACATTGTTTGAATCACTAATTCTTACCACTTCTTACTTAAAGAGACCCTGGAACCCTGACTCTCATCTCCATCAAAGTTACTTGTCACACACCTGCTAGAACCAGATTTATAGTTTAGACCGTTTTGCTGATGTTTTCTCTCAGCCACCTTAGCAACACACCATTTTCAGTCTTTTGTAATTTCTTGCATTTTAAGCCAAATGCTCCAATCCTGCCGGTATCCTGCTGCTTTCTTCTCCTCAACTTTCCTGATAACCATTCCTTCTTCTTTATTTACATCACTGTTCTTCAATTACAATAAAGATTAAAAAAACAGATTTTCACAGGTGGGTAAGTAATTGCACTAAACCAGACAGCGTTACACATCTGTAATACGGTTTTGTTTCAGTCATCAAATGCTCTACACATAGGCAACAATTTACACAGGGAGTAAGTTAACAGTTTCTTGGCAAAGTAACAGTTTGGAGAGCACTTTCCCTCTTAAGTCAAAGACTGGCTGGCACATGAACACATTTAGGTAAAGGATGAGATCAGTCTTGCAGTGAAACATTACATACCCTTTCAGCTCCGTACAACTATGTCACTCTTCACTACTTCTGTGTTTGAAGCCAGTGGAACAGACAACTACGTCCTCAGCTCTGTAGACATTCAAGACCAAAGCGACTGCTCTTCCAAACCTTCTGTCCCTACAGAGTAAGATAATAATGTTCATCATGTGATCCAAAACTGACAGAGTCCCTAACTTGAAGGTTAATAACTTTCCTAAAGGCGACAGAAAATAGAAAAAGTAACTGCTTGATTTTTTCCAGTCCTTCAACACTCAGGGGAAGCATTCAATTAAAATAAATTAGGACACCTCTGAAAGATGTTCAAAATCTCCATAGATTTAGCTATAATGGGTTACTTTGATATGAGTGCATTTTTTCCCATACTAAAAATGTTTTTCTCACTAAAATAGTTTAATCCCTCAAAGGAAAAGTAATTCAGTTAAAGACCACAGGTTTCCATTTTGTGGGTTATGCCTCTGTACACCAGACCTATTTTCCAATTCCTAGCCAAATACCATTTCAAAAAAGTCATCTTACAATTTAGCGTTAAAATTTCCATTTTTCCAAAAGGACTTTGGGATCTCTTCTAGGAAAGAATGATTTAATATTGTTGAAACACGAGTTTCAGGGATGCCACACATTTTCTTTTGAGGTTACTAGAAGTCCTGTCCCTGCCGTTAAGGCCACATATATTAAACCGTTCTCTTTGGTGGATTTTCTCAGGTGAAACATGAATACTGATGGTTGTCTGCATAGATCCAGCAGCAGAATCAGGTGCTATAATAATACAGTAGGGGCATTACACAATATATAGATGAAAAGGCATGGAAGATGGTAGGAAAGAAAAATCCATGTTGTTCAGGTCTTTGCAGTGATCTCTTGCTGGAACTTCCAAAAAAAAAAAAATTAAATAAAAGAAAGGAAATTGAAATATCTGTGAATGTGAACATCATTAGTGTAGCATCTCAAGCTACAATGCAGATTGCAGATCACAGATCAGTTCTGCGCTCCTTAGGCTGGCAGGAGGCAGCAAGCCTGTGGTGCAGATCACAGCTTACAGAATGAGACTGCTCCTCTGCTGACTGGGACAATGCTCAACCAGCTGCTGAGAAAACCACTTCAAGGTTATCAGAGAGGATGAAATATGCTGCTGAGAGCGTGACCTGAGGAGATCACAGGAGACCTCCTTAGTGTTACTGCTGTGCTGCTATGCTACCTTCGGCTGCCCAAGCACCCAGCTCAGCTATATCCGGATTTTGAATGAGACAGCATTATAATACACTGTACTTCATGTCCTCTCTCAAACAGGGATTCAGTGACAAGTACTACCACAGCACTGATCAGTGCCACAGTAACATACCTCTGGGGGAGGGCACGTCACGTATGCCCAAGCAGCCCTTTCACCAAAACTGCTGACTCGGAAAGACTGATACGAGCAGAGAGAAAGGCTTTGGAGCGAGGGGTCACACAGCACTGGAAAAAAGACCATAACTTAATATTCAGGTGACTAAACACACACAGTATCTTTCACATCCTCAGTTCCAGAGGGCTATCCAGAAATCCATGCACATACTATCCGCCAAGACGTTTGTCTGACAGCCCTCAGACTGCATTCTGCGTTCAGAAGGTGGCAGTCAAGCTCTCCGCCGTCAGCCTCCCTATGCTACCAAAAGGCACAGAGGAAAGAAAGGTCACAGGAATTGTCAAGAGATGTTAACGTATCCTGCACAAAAGAGGCTTGCTAAAATTTGACTAGGAAAGAACAAAGAGTTAGAAAAATATGAGTATAAATGCAGCCTTAAGAATTGTCACCTCTGACTCTTCCAGCAGCTGGTGGAAAGTGCAGATTTGGTAGGAACTTTGCCTTTATACTATCTTGTAAGTGCTGGGTGATAGTTTCCCCACAAGAAGATGCCTGAACCTGCCCAGCCGTTATATCCAGAGCGCTTCTTCTGTAAGAGGAAGCACGGCACAGATGAAAGGGAATGAACAGAAGTGCCTAACAAACCTCACAGAAAACAGTAGCTGAAACATGCTCCTGAGACGATAACTTCTGCTTTTCATAGACGTTAACAGTCTCCAGCTGGAACCAATTCAGATTACACTATGGCTGCCTTGGCCGTTCTATGAGAATACACTTCTCATACAAGGTGAATCAGAGGTAATTCTGAGCTTTGTAAGAGAGCAGAATATTCTTTCAACAAGTCTGAGAGACACTGGACAGCTGCCTGCCTTACTAATAACATCTTCCCGTCTCCTGGGTGCACCTCGTCAGTGCAGCACCAAAACCTGCAAGGTGCTGCCTCATGACTATAGTTGCAACCTGCTATAGGAATACAAAAAGCTTACTGTTGCAACAGCTTCAAGGCTGTGCCCTTTGTTCTCATGGAATAGCAAAGTCCATCCAGCTCACACTTCTCCACAAGTAACACAAGTTAAAGTTCTAACCTGCAGATAATAGTATGTTTCCCATCACCACTATACCAGAAAAACTGGCCTACTCTTACTATATATCAGGAGTAATAGTTTTTTGTTTTAAAACCAAAGCTTGCGAAGAAACAAGAGGAGAGCTCAAAACATGCACTAATTACACAGAACGTTCTAAGAAGAGGTATTCACAAGATGCAGTCACAGCAAGAGTTATGACACTCAAAAGATATTCAAAGACAACCACAGGAAAAAAAGCTTTAAGGTGGAAATAGTGCGGATGTTCCAGCTAAGACGCTTGCTCCCAGTATACTCACCTTCCTCATTGCTACTACCCACTTAAAAGCTAAGTCTCCTCCTGTCCTTTCCCACAGAAATTACAAGTATCATTGATTTCAGCTGTTACGTAGGACAAGCAGCTTAGCTCAAATTAATAAGTAGCACTCACCTCCCATTGCACAATTGGAAACATGTTTTTTCAAACCTTCCTCTGAAAATATGGGATAAAGCCATCACATTACAACTGTCACTTAAGACCTATAAGGAATAAAGAAAAGTCCAGCCCTTGCTGCAGAAATAATGGATTGAAAGAAAGAGGACTGACATAATGAAGCCCATTTCAATAGGCAAATTAATGCATTAAGAAGAGCTTATATATGCTATCATAAGGTAAGATGGTATAAAGCATGAGGACCCCCAACCAACTTATCTGGCAGGAACTGGGGTGCAACAACCTTAGAAAAGCATAAGTCCTAACAGTAAAACAGCACCAAAAGCCACTGCTCAAACAAAATTCATATGCTCTGAGTCATAAGAGAGTAATATGGCACTCTCTCCACCTCCGAGTGCTCAACCCGTATTATTAACATTAACTAAACCAGGATACCCTCCTGTTGGTAAGCACATAGCAGAGAAAACAAGGACAGGAGAGAACCCTGAAGAAATGTCATATGCGCAGTTCAAAGTGGACAACTTGGATTCACGGCACTTTAGAGATAAACAGCCACTATCAAACTTATTAGCCCCTTCCCTCAGGTCACCTAAGTGACTTGCCAAACATCTAAGAGGCAAAACTGGAATGAAACAGGAATCTTAATGCTTTATTCTCGTCTGTAATCACTAGATGACGTTAGCCAGAGAACTAAAAACCAGACAAACGCATCTAGGCGCTTAACTTCAGTCAACAGAAATGAGACATGAAGAGTCTTTGTGGATTTGGGCCTAACCACCCAAGCCCGTAAGACAAGCCACAGGCCGACTACAGGAACGAGGAGGACGCGGAGGATGCAGTCAGCGACCCAGCTAGGAAAGCGCGATACCCTTCTACTGGAGAAGCGGACCAAAGAACACCGGCATCCGGCTCTTGGCAGCTGGGAGGACGAATTTCTCACTGTGTCATCAGGCACCGTCCCTCGGGCCAAATCGCACGTTTTCCGGGATTTTTGTCCGGCGGGACGTGAAGCATCCCGAGCGGAGCAGGTCTCCGGTGGGACGGGGGTTGAATTAGCAGCAGCACAGCTTCTTCCTTCCCCCCCAACCCCCCCCCCGCTCCCCTTCA